TGTGGCTACCATGAGATAAAGGGGAAGACGGCGCAACTACTTTTTGCCACAAGTGTGTAGTGTTTAGAATACCTAGCACATGAAGACTGTCAGAGAGCATCAGGCTCCTAGTGAAATGTTGATGAAGAGCATCTGTGTAACTGCCGTTGAGGAGCGAGAGCTCACAGGAGCACAGCAAAGAGAACAAACTAGCACAGACTTTGCAGTTGAGATAGTTTGTGCAGATGGGAGTTTGAAGGGGAACTGGAAACAGTGCGCAAGACAGCGTGGGACAGATAGAGGTGGTGCAATGATAGTGATGATGGGCCACAGGGAGTGCTCCCCAGCAGCAGGTGGACCAGCCAACCATAGCACATCTAGAGTTTTCAACCCAGATCCAGAGGTAGGATGTGACCATCTTGGTCTCAGGCTGCTGGCAGTGGCAGGTGTCTCTCCTGAAGGCTGGGGGTCAATGGTGGCTTCAGCTATGAGAGATGTGCTGTGATCACAGTGCTGAGCTGCCAGCTGAAGGAACTGCAGAAGAACATGAGAAGGACTGCGTAGCATCAGGCAGGATAAACAAGAGTTTGACGGCATCTTTCAAGGGTTCACTGAAGAGACAACAGTGCCTTTCTACAGCAGACGGAGGCACCAGTCTGTTGACCAGACTTGCTCTCAGGTGGTGCCATGACAGGATAAGACACAATGAGCACAAACTGAAATACAAAAAAAACTGTTTAAGAAAAGCCTTTTTTACTGTGAGGGTGGTCAAATGCTGGAACAGGTTGCCCAGAGAGGTTGTGGAGTTGATTTACATGTTTTGGGACTAAAGAGCTAAAAATACCTGCTAACTGTTTTTTACTAGTTATCATAGTCACATGCCCTTCATATTAAATGTTTCCTTAGTTCAGTATTTTGAAGGCTTTAATTACAGGGAAAATGTCATTTGATTGACTAGAAATAAGATTTTGTTTGTCAGGAAATTAAGAAGGGTGCCCAAAGACAGAGTTTGACTGACTGCAGTAGATTATTTTGAAATTTTCCATTTTTGTCACCTTTATTCAGTTCAGTAATAGGTAACAACAAACTAGATCAGAGGACATCTCTGTCCCTGAGGCCATGCAGTGCAGTATGACATACACACGTACAGCTAAACTCTCTTGCACCTTCCACTCCTCCTAACCCCACCAAACCAAGCAACTAACCAGGGTGGTTTTACCTTTACTGGGAAGAAGCCCTGGCTCAAGCATTCCTCCAAGCCATGACCAGGGTTTGTCAGGAGGAGTGATAGTTGGCACAAGCCAAAACTGTACCAGCTGTGCTGACAATTGCACCAAGAGCAAACCCGCCCAGACTGTACCATGTCAGTGCTTCGAATCCATCCCCTGGTCCTATTGAGCTTGTACTTCATAGTTGTAATCTCTGATTCTGACTGATCTAAATATGCAAAAGAACTTTACTAGCACAGTTCATTTAAGTTGGTATAAAACTAGGTAGGTACCATCTTGGTCTAAGTAAGAGATGGAAGAAAACCACATCATCTCCACTTCAGGTGATATGAGAGGATATATCATGCTGTCTGATGCTG